GATGCTGGAGAATCCGAGACAACAAGGTGCAGGCCTGGATGAACACAGCAGGCCAAGCAGCATCATAGGAGCAGAAAGGCTGACGTTTCGGGCCTAGACCCTTCCATCTTGTTGTCACGAGGTAACAGAACCCTCCAGTAGAGGGCTATCTATGCACTTAGCTACTGGCGATACAATTTGGAGAGTACTGTATGCAACTTTGTCCTGCTATAGAACTTCAACACGGCTCATGGGCTCCCAATTCGATTGCATTTCCTGCCGCCTTGCTGAGTCCATGTTCCAGGTGTACATTGGGTGCACCTTTTCTTAAGTTTTGTTTGCACTTCGGAACTGCCCCCATCCCTCTCCTGATTGTTGGCCATCGAGTATCACAGAACTTCCTCATGCCTCTACCTAGGCCAGGCCAAAGTGACCATTGACAGGTCCAGGTGGACCAACAGCCTGCCTCTCTTCTGTGGTTACATCCGTGCTCAGGCATCCATGGAAAGGGGACGTAAAGTTGACACTACTTGAGGAGTTCATCAACCAGTGGTGTGAGTGGTACAATATCAGCCATGGGAATGGTGTATAGATTTGATACATATTCTTTGCATTTTTTTTGTCAGTTCCCTTTTAGAGGCTGATTCATTATTTCATTCACTTACTTGCTTTTCGTTTTCTGAAATAAGTATAAGGACACAGATGCACTACTCCATTAATAGTTAGGAGGCACTGCCCTATTATGTTAAATCCACTAACAAAGGGAAAAAAAACCAATATTCTTTGAATCTGAACCTTGTTACAAATTGCGTAATTGTTATAGTACAGAAAGAAACCACTTGACCCCCATTGTGTCTGCACTAACTCTCTAGATAAATAACTCACCGTGCATCTTCCCCACCTTCTCCCCGTAACCCTACACATTCCCTTTTACTCAGGTAATCATCAAATTCTGCTTGACTGACTTTATTGAACTTGCCTCCATCTGGTTGAACAACGGGTAAATAACGTTGATAATGGACATGGGTTACATCTTTGGCAAAGACAAACAAGGCACTAACCTTAGTACTGTCACTTCCAAACAAACACAGTACCAGGTAGAAAGTAATTTTGGAGCTAAAGTCTAGTCAGTTGGGCATTTAGATAATCTATTAATCTTTGTGGATAGAATTTATCAGAAAGGTCCAAGTGAGACATGGCCACCGAATGGTAAATTAAGGAGATGGATAGTTACTCTATTAAAAAAAATTGTGGGAATTTAACAGGCTAAATACATGATTGCAGCCAGGAAATTCCTTGTTCAGTGCTTGCTTTCATATTGTTGGATTGTGCTATGGTGTCATACATGGAAAGGTTCCTGGCATTAAATGGAATTTGATTCTCAGAAATGGATAGATAGCTCAATCAGATGTCTGAAGATTTTATAGAGAAAACAATCCTGGGAAACTAGCTATTTCCAGTGACCTTCGTGGCTTTAAATGGGACATTTGGCAGATCCAATGATCACTGCATTTTAAGGCTATTCAGATATGGGGCAATGACATCATTACATCAGCAGGATCACAGATAAAATTTATGAGAATGGAAACTAATTTGCCAGACATAGCAGGTGATAATAGAAGAATGATCCCCAGGAGAATTATTAATAGGGATTTGAAATATCATTATGTGGTATGTTATCCAAAATGAAACAGAAGCACGTTCATGGTTAACACACTGAATAATTACAACTAGCACACTAAAAACCTAATACACAATATAACACATTACACTACCCATTACACGTTGGCCCAATGAACACACACCTGGCAGATGAAATTCAATGCAGAGAAATGCAAGATAATGCATTTTGGTAGAAAAAAAACACGGAGAGACAATTTCACGCAACACAGTAAGTTCGGAAGAGGAAGCTGACAATATTGATCAGTCTGAGGAGATTATTGATTACATATAAAATTGTTGAGTGTGCCACTTTTTTTTTAGTATACATGCAGTAAGTAGTGAAATACTCTAGCTATTGTACAAATGATCCACGGAAACGTGAGAGCCGACATTAAACTGGACTATGATAATGTCCTTGGAAAGCCAGTAGTTTTGCAATTTACTCAATCAGACTGCTTTTGCATGTGTGTACCAGAACCATTCATCTCCAGCCAGAATCCTGTGAATAGCATCAGGCAATGGGAATTTAAGGGGAAACAAAAACAAATTATCTTCAAGTTACATAGAGAATTTGCTCATCTCTCTTGTCCTAAAGGATACACAGCTGTGAATGAGGGCCATACAAAGTTTATTGAAGATATTGGTGAAGAATAATATGTGTCGAAAGTATGAAAGGCCACCATCACAGCCTGTTGCAAATCTCCCATTAGCATCAGGCTTTACTGGAGTCGTAGTTATGGAGTTACAATTATGAGATAAGGATGGAAGTATTTTCACTTCACATTTCACAGATATGGCAAAACACTTCAGTCCACCTGCAGTAATCCATTGTAAAAACACAGGAGACAAATCATCGAGAAGTCGATAGGAACTAGAATGGGGGAGGCACCAGCTAAATGGGATGATAAATTCACCAATTACAAGAATATGAACATTGTAACTGAATTCTGAAAAGCTTTGAAAAACTGTAAATCTGCAGCTGAAACTCCCTTCCATAATGGGATTTGTGAAAGAAATAATGTGGCGATTGATGAGTGCTGCGTAAGATATTAGTTGCCAATCAGATTGTAACATCTATCCTGGCATGGACAGTCCATGCAAAATGAACACACTTGAAATGGCTAGAATCATTGGTCTATAACAGTTGGTTATGGAAGGAATCCATAAAGTTGTCCACTGGCCTTGGGAGAAGCTATAGTTAGCCCATCTTGTCTGTGCACTTGAATGTCCTACATGCAGAGAGAAGGGCATTCATCAAGGCCGAAGTCTCAGAGAAGAATTCAGTGAGCTCTATGGCATCACCATCAGAGATAAAATTTAATCCTGTGGATTTAGGAACGCATAAAAGACACAGTCTGACAAAGCGGAAAAGACTCGAAAATGTGATGCAGTTAATGAAAACGCAATGATTCTCCAACATGATGATCATACTATAAGGATACATTTGCCTAGGTTAATTGGGTTTAATTGTAAACTTCTAGAATCTGAACCAGCAGCAAAAGATGATGAAGCATCCTGTACATTACACAGACATATTTGCAAGTCATGAGGAGCAGAATATTATTGATACAGGGACAGTAGGCAATAACAAAATCATTAAGAATGCAATATACAGGATTATTTTTCCACAAAGCACAAATTCTGAAAATCCGTATGAGGTTAACAATATAAGGGGCGAGTGAATGGAGGAATGTGATCATTGTAGACAGCGAGGAAAACGTCAGGAAAATGCTGCGCTTGGTGTTCACAAACAAATCCAGGTGTTGCTGCAGAAACAGCTTGTTCCTTCCTTTACTCTAAGCTTGTTTCTCATGTATCTTTCTTCAATTGCTTATTGCCATGTCCAGTTAGCCTTTAACAACCTGGTTTGGAGATATCATTTTTCAGCCTAACACTGCAAGACTGAACATGAGCATTGAGTCTTTATTGAGGCCCTGACAGGTGGACATTCTTGGGCATTGCCAGGAATGCTAACTTCTCACTGGCAATTCCCTTACTTCCTAGGACCCTCTGTGAATCACTACAACGCTGAGCTAAAGTTGGAGAATTCAGACAGTTCCACAGTACTTATCAGGCGAGGCAAATGAAAATCGCATCTGATATGTTGGGAGTGAATTTATAGGTAAGAAGATAGGACAATTCAAAGTTGACATCCAAGCTTTGGAGACCTTTAAACATGCAGGATTAGGTATTAAGCAGGCTAGGTCAGGAGAAACATTGAATCAACAATCATGCTTAGAAAATATTAATCATTTCCTGATAAATTAGCCCACATTCTCACATAGATACTTTTGCATCCAGAGAAGAAACAACGCAGTTAAAAATATTGACTAGACAATTAAACCGACAATGGGCTGAGAAGTACCCCAGGACACTTATGGCATGTTGGAACTTTATATTATGATAAAACATGTTACAGCTGAGGAGGTTGTGAGGGCAAATGAAATTAAATTTGGAGAAATGTGCACCAGGCCTCCAGCCTTGGGTGACTCAAAAAATATAACTTTAGTCATTTTTCATGAAACATCACACTCCAATCTTCCAGATGGGCATTTGTGTAGTTAGGTTGTTTGAATTCTTGATGGGCGAAAATGAAAAATATTGTCCTTTGGTGTCGGAAGCCAAGAAAATAAAAAGACGCAGCTAAAATTACCTTAGCTGCTGAAACAGAGGTGCTGCTGGAAGTGATAGATATGATATTCTACTTCTGTAACATTCTAAAGGAAGTTCAATGCAAAAGTATTCTGAGAAAGGATCATAATTGAATGCTGGTGAATAATCGTTGGGTTTGGAAAAACGGTAAATCAACTAAAAAGTCACTGACAAATGTTTGAGGATTTAGCTTATTTGTGTAAGGGAATGTTGGAGAGAAAAGACAGGCCTAAAACGATGCAAAGCACCAATTATCAGACTGTTTTACAAAGAGGAACTTTTGCTCTGGAAATTGTTAGAGATCCTAAAAGAGCTTCTGTAATAATGAATTGTGAGAAAACCAAAATTGATTGGTTTGTACTTTTTTAATCATTTTACAAAGATTTTGTTTTAAGAGGAAAGGGAACAATCTGTTAATGATTGGTTGACTAAGAATATAAGTAAGGACTTTGTTTGATGAAGGACCAAGACTGTATAGAAGGTGAGTCAGTCCACTGGTAGTTTTCAGCCCTGCTGTGGTTGGTGGGCACCACACAGGTCAGGGTGCATCATCACACCCACTATGATACTTTAGTGTGTCTTGTTAGAATTTTAATTTTTGTTACATCTCAGAATGCTTTTGCATTGAACTTCCTTTAGAATGTTACAGAAGTAGAATATCATATCTATCACTTCCAGCAGCACCTCTGCCCTGATTTTGTTTGATTTGTTTGTTTCAAATAGCAGTGAGAGAATAAGAAAAACAGTAGATTAATAGTTAGGTGGAACAGATCTGTAATGTTGCATACCGTGAAGAAACCTACTAACAACGAAAAGATCGGTACTCTGTTTTGAACTTTGCCTTCTGGCTCAGATCCATCCAAAAGCAGGTGCACAACTGAGATATACCATACCTACAATGCATCATTCAATCCATAAACATATTTGTTTAAATTCCACAGCTTCGCTTCTGCACCATTCACTTCTTTAGATGGTTCCAAAAACATTTCTCTTTATTCTGCAATATATTCTGCAAAAAGTTGTCTTTTCTTTCTACCAACCTATATTCCCATTGATATGTTACTGAAAGAGCTAAGAAAACTTTCATGATTACTTTTCGGACAGGGAACAATTGCCCTTTAAGATGTTGATCATCAAGTCTCTCTTCACAACTTGAACCATTAGTCTTCCTTTTGTTTAATACGTCCTGTTAGGAAGTCCTTTCGTTTGCAGATATCCATGATGCAGGCTTTCAATGCTCAGTAATACATCTGTGCCCTGCCTTGCCCGAAATTGATGCCCGCAGTATGGGCAGAAGAAACATCAGCCAAAGTTGTACCTGGGGCCTCAACTCTAAGTTATTAGCTGTTCTAGCAAGCACACAATGAAGTTATGATCGGAGTAAATCGGAGTGATGGTGGTTTCTCAGGACTTTGTTTACAAGCTGAGCAAGACATATTCTGTTAAATGTTCATATCTGAGGACTAACCATAAGGTGCATAGGGATGGGTGTTTCTGCAGAATCCAGCTTCATTCTGTATCTTTCCCCTCTGTGTTGCTTTAAGTATGGACCCCAGTCAGGGGCTGATGTGCAAGCGGCAGATATTTTCTGTGAAAGGAAAAGCGAAACATTTAATCATTTCTGTCTATTTTTTATCTGCACTAGCTTCCCACTAAAAATAAACCTTTTCCTAATCATATTTTCGTGCAGTTTGTTCTAACATATAGCAATTCATATTATACTGACAAATATTTAACTTGTATGTTTATGACAGAGGTTATAAGCTTGTCTGAGTTCTATTTTTGCATAGGCAATGTACTGTCAGTGAGATACAGTAAAGGAACTTGTATAACATCTAAATAATAATGGTTGAAAATACTTTAATGAAACTATTGTCACAGCAATTTGATAAGAGGTTTCAATAATATATTCTTTTTTGATGAAAAAGCTACAAGATCAATACCATAATTATTTAACATTCTTGGAGTGTCACTATGTGATTATAATGATTTTTATTAATCAATCAATCATTAATTTCTCATTCTTGAAACACAATGAGGATTAAATCGACCTGTATAGCCACCGGTCTTTGAGCTGTAATGGGCCATGTAAGGATTAAAAACATGGTCAGCTTGGAAGTGCTAAAAGACAAACAAGTTGGAAACAGCTATTATTGATTTTTATATGTGAAGAAGAGAGGACTAAAACCTGCTGCTAGTTTCTGCTGCAGCTTCACTTTTGTATACTAGTCCAGTAAATCCGACTCAAATCACCATTTCTTTTAGAAAAAAGAAATTCTTACAGTTTCAAGCCATATTTACAGGCATCTTATGTGCAAAGTCAGAAAAATTCTGTGTATTAAAAGGAAATGTTCTGGCTTCTTCCATTCTGTTTTTTTCTTGAAAAAACTAAGGAACATTAAAGTGATTAAATCCCAAATTATGTTTGTTAATCCATTCAAAGTGTCCATGCAGTTTTGATATATGATCACCACAATGGCTAGAGCCAAACTTTCTGGATCTTTGGAGACTGTAATGTGAACATAGATTCTGAGGATATTCTCCAATCTTGATCCAGAGTGGGTTGGTGCTCAATTGCTGGTTCAAGAATCCAGGATAATACAGACTGAATTCAGCGTATTGAATCTTTCTATTGATGGTGAACTGCCTTCAAAAGAAGTATATCCTTAAATAAGAAGACTCAAACTGTACACAGTACTTTAGGTTCACTGTCATTAATTCTCTGTGCAGTATTATCAAGAGATCCCTAAATTTATTCTCCATCACTCTTACATGCTGTACCCATATGATTAATTTTTGAGATTCATGTATGAGGACACCCAGATCACTTTTGTGCTGCGGTCTCTCTCCATTTAAGCAATATTCCACTTTTCTATTCTTCCCGTTTAAAAGTATGTGCCTACTGCCAAATTCTGCTTAACCTATTTCTCATAACTGTCTTTGCAAACTGCTTGTAACCTCGTCACAATTTGCTTCTACATCCATCGTTGTGTTACCAGCAAATTTACCTATAATACTGTCCGTAACTTCATCCAATCATTGACATAGATCATAAGTGGTTGAGGTCCCAACCCTAAACCCTTTGGAACTCCTTAGTTTCAGTTTACCAATGTACTCTAACTCACTGCTTCCACTTTGTCAGCTAGTCCTTTATCTATGCTAATATATCACGTCAATACCATAAGGTCCTGCATTTTGGAACGAAATTTTCATGGGATGTCTCAGTGAATAACCTTTAGAAATCCACATACATTACATCTACAGTTCGCTCTTTATTTACCTTGTCTAGTACATGTTCAAAGAACTCAAATAAATTTGTCAAACATGTTTTCCCTTTCAGAACATCATATTGACTCTGCTTGATGATATCATGATTTTCTAAATATCTTGCTACTATCTCCTTAAAAATGGATGCAAGGATTGTCCCAATAACAGATGTTAAACTAACTACCATGTAATTTCTTGCTTTATGTCTCCCTCCTTTCTTGAATAGAGATAGTAATGTTTGAAATTTTCCAATCCAGCGGAATTTCTCCAGAATCTGGGGAATTTTGGAAGGTAACAGCCAACAATGAACCAAATAACAATGGCAGATGAACAGGGTAGGTGCTTTGCATCAATTTTACAGTGGAAGACACCAGCAGCATACCAGAATTTCAAGAGAATCAGGGAACAGAGGTGATTGTAGTGGTCATCATGAAAGAAAAGGTGCTGGGGAAGCTGAAAGGTCTGAAAGAGAGTAAATCACCTGGACTCGATGGACTACACGCCAGAATTTTGAAGGAGATAGCTGAGGAGATTGTAAAGATATAGATGGTGATCTTTCAGTAATCAGGGAAGGTCCCAGAGGACTGAAAAATGGTTAATGTAACACCACTGTTTAAGAAGAGAGGGAGGCAGAAGACAAGAAACCTTCGGCTGGTTAGCCTGACCTCGGTCATTGGTAAGATTTTAGAGTCCATTATTAAGGATAACATTGTGGAGTACTTGGAAGTGCGTGGTTAAATGGGGCTGAGTCAGCATGGCTTCATGGAAGGGAGGTCATGCCCAACAGATCTGTTGGAATTCGTTGAGCAGGTAACGAGCAAGTTAGATTTAGGACAGTCAGGGACATGATCCATTCGGATTTCCAGAAGGCCTTTGACTACTTTGCAGACATCTTATTTTAACACCCTAAGACAAAGTCTCTCAGGACCCGGAGACTTTAAGCCTGCAGTTCCACCCATTTGCTCAGTACCACCTCACTCGTCATTGTAATTCTTTTACGCTCCTCTCTCCCTTCCATTTCTAAATTCACAGCTGTTTTGGATGTTGTTTATACCATCTTTGGTGACAATTAATACAAAAAATCAGCTCAATTCATTTGCCACCTCTTTATTTTTTATTAATTTCTTCAACTTCTTTCTACAGGACTAACTGTCACTTTGCTCATGATGTACTTCTTTAACATATAGAAAATCTTACTATTTTGTTTTCATATTTTATCGTTTTCCATCACGCTAATTTTTTCCTTCTTGATCTTTTAGTCATTCTTTGCTGTTCATTATATCCTAACCAATATTTTAACCAGCTACCTCTTGTGCAATAATATGCTTTAAGTAGACAGTATCTTAAACTTTTTAGTTAACCACAGATAGTGTGTCCTTCCCTTGGCATTTTTATTCATCATTGGAAAGTACTTATTCTGTGTATTTTGACTATGCCCTTTTACGTCTGCTATTACATCTTTATTGACCTATCCCTCAAAATATGTTGCCAGTTTGCTGAAACTAACCCTGCTTTCATACTCTCATAATTGACCTTATTTCAGTTTAGAATGCTAATTTTAGACCCACTCTTCTCTCCCTCAAACTTAATTTAAGATTCAATCAAATGATGTTTCTGCTACCTGGAGGAACATTTAGTATGAGGCCAGTAATTAATCCGATCTCATTGCATAGCACCTTCTCTAATGTCGATTGCTGCAGATTGTGCTGTTTGAAGAAAATACCCCAAAATCATTCTACGAACATCTCATTTAGGCTGCCCTTATCCATCTGACTCTTCCAGCCTACATGTAGATTAAATTCCACTAAAATAACTGGAGTGCATAGTTGATCCATAGAATGTAACTTCTCTTGTGTGTAATTGTGCTTGGGCGGGGAGGTGGGGGGCATGTTCTTTTTGTTACATTTATCTTTCAGCCAGTTGTGGGAATAGACATTTATCTTTTCTTCTGATTTGAGCAAGTTTTATTAAAGTCACAACACTCAAAGGAGTTTAAGGCGCTGCCTCTATAACATTCCATTTTGCAGTAGACAACCAGAAGTTGAGAAAAAAAGTTATCCCACTGTGGCCTCTCTCCCATCTGTAAAATAGGGGAAGCAATCGTCTAGCGGTATTATCGCTGGACTGTTAATCCAGAGACCCAGAAACTATTCTGGGGATCCAGGTTCGAATCCCACCACGGCAAATGATGGAATTTGGATTCAATAAAAAAAAAAGTCTGGAATTAAGAATCTAATGATGACCATGAAACTATTATCAATTGACAGGAAAGAAACCACCTGCTTCATAATGTCCTTTAGGGAAGGAAACTGCCATCCTTACCTGGTCTGGCCTACATGTGACTCCAGACCCACAACAATGTGGTTGGCTCTTAAATGCCCCTCTGAACCATTAGGGATGGGATATAATGCTAGCTGGTCAGCAACGTCCTCATCCAGTGAATGAATAAAAAAAAAATCATGCCATTCTAACTTTCAGATAATCTACCAATGAAGATATTTTGGGCACTCAGAGTACTTCAGAAATCATTTTACGTCATCTTTGAAATTTAAGAAGGTACATCCCTACCTGTTGCAAGGTGGAGCCCTCAGCTTGAACTATTTTAAATATTGCGACAATGGGGATCCACATAATACTGAAGACTGTCATACACCAGCCCAGTGCTGTTGCCCAGCCAGGGTATTCAACAGGTCCATATGTTGGGGGGACAAATGTTGCTAAGGACCAGAAGAAGATTACCTAATAGGATGAATGCACATAACAAGATCAGAAAGAGAATGAGAGACTGTGTGAAGTTTGATTACTTTGATTCAAGTCTCTAAAAGATGTGACATCTCCTTACCACCAGCAAACACGGGGTGATAAAAAACCAACACATTCTCCACCACAGCCAGAAGAGCCAAGTCCTTTTCCCAATCATCATCTCAATGTCCTTGATGAATCTGTTTACCCCTGTGAGCAACAGAGAGACACCATCACTCGCTTTGTCTGTCTTCAGGGCAGCTTGTTTGCTGTCGAAGTTTATCTGGTACTGGGAGGCACTAATGAACAAGTTAAAGCAGAGAAAGGATCACTTAGGATTTCAAATTGCTTGAGAAAATTATGTCCTGATATCTCAATGTGTTTTGGTTTCAAATTCTGCTGAATAAAGCAGCATCTTGGCCATTTTGTAATTTTACCAGTTCTATATGGATGCGGATTGCATTGTTTTTTTCAGTTTCTGACCATATGGCATGTGTGGAGCTGCTTTGAAAAAGAAGTCAGTCATTCATAAATCTCTGACTGCTCCTTTAGCATCTGCAGACACTCAACACTCCCCGTCTAATGAGTAGGAGAGTGATTGTTCTTGTGCAGCAGGGCAGATGAACCCAGCTCGGTGGGTGGAGACGGATCAGCATTGCAAGCAAATTGTAGCTGCAAGCCCCATTGTTGCAGACTGAGATTGTGCAGGTTTCTAACATTCTGTGAAGGGCTGGAACCAAAGCAGACATTGATCATCTGACTGAGAAAGAACATTTGGAGTCAAATGTCAAGTGTACAGCACCAGGAATGTGGAGATGTGGCAGGGATTCTAAAAGGGGGACGTTGAACCCTGCGGCACAGACAGTGAAGGAGTCCATGCAGGCTATGAAAGCTACAATTGCCTACCCTGCACGACGGGTAGCTTTTTCCACCGAGAGACTGTCAAGGAGTGCCAAGCTGAGCAGCTCACGGATGGAACACTCGGAATGCATTCTGACGCGCCTTGTATTGGAGCAGCAGAACTAGAGTGAGGGCTGGTGGTTGTGGTGAGGGGGTTGGGGGGATGAGCAGCCATGACAGAGTATGTCACAGGGGAATTGATGGGGCCATCCTCCCCACTGCTCCTCTGCCATTGATACCAAGAACTCAGCATGCTGCAGTGACAGATGGCATTCCTGCTACTGTCCAGGGGAAGCCCGCGATGCTGAGGTCCTCACAGTTTCAGGCGGTCAGAGAAATTTGGCCAAAGTCATTCCAGGCAAAGGACATAAAGGTCAGCAGCCTTAATGGAGCATCACTGGCAATGAACTGGCGCACGATCTGGAGGAGAATCAAGAAAACGCATTAATCACGCATGGATTCACAAAGGTGGTTGTTTCAGTTTGTAGATAGGTGGGCTAGAGTCTATATTAAAAGACGGTTTTGTGACTATTTTCTGTTCTGGCTTCACTCGTGCTCCGTGTGTATGCTATCCTGGTGCAAACTGTTTATTCAATGAATGTATGGATGTTTGGGAAGTGTCATTCAGAGGTGAGTGAGGCAAAGATGCTACTGCATAATAAATTCCACATTTCCTGTTAAATATCTCATTTTAAGAGGTGCCCGGATATTTCCCTGCTGCTGAAAGTAGTGCGCTTTCTTCTGCAGCTGGAATATCTTCCTTTCCTCACCCTCAGATTCATTGGCAGAAATGTGGCTCAGCCAAATAAATCATCTATTTCCAAAGACATCCCCCTCTGGAGTGCTATGTTGTGACCTGTGGACCACAATGAGTGAGACATCATTTGGAGAATATAGCCAACTGAACGAGCTGATATAGACCCCGATTCCATGCTGAATGTAAGGGAAGAATTCAGACATCTAGACATTACATCAGTCACCCCCTTGATACAATGATACACTGAGACTTGTAAGGTGCTACAAAGGTCTTTGGCTGATGCGCGGAATGCAAAAGAATTCCAGGCTACTTTTAGCTCAAGCGCGTCAAGTAGCCAGGATCGGTCTGCCTTGATAATTGGCAGTAAGGGGAACCCAACTGGCAAATAGCTGTTCAATCTGGATGAAGATGTTTGAACAACATTTCCATCAGAAGTTAATAAGAAAATACCAGTAGATCAATTTTCTCGATTAAAAACCAAGTACAACCCAGGAAGAACAAAGATACCATGAGTGAAGGATGTAAAAGGCATTGAGAAATTATCATGATGTCCTACAGTATGATAATTCTGTTTCTCTCTACAAATACTGTCTGACCTGCTGAGTAACTCCAGAATTTCCTGGGTTTTTTTTATGACTGGGGACACTGCCTATCTCATATTGGCTTCTGGAACTAAATGGGGAGACATCTTTAATAATTGAGGAGAACTTTCGTTTTCTCGAGCTTTCAAAGAACTATCTGCATCACATCAGCAATTCATTTCTCATACTTCCTCTAAATAGACATAGTTGTTGATTTTTTTTTTAATTTGCTCCCTGGGTGTATTTCTGCTAGTAATATTCAATTGTTAATTGTGGAAATTATAGATATGATTTTCATTTCCATTGAAATTAATGTTAATGATAATGAATTTGTGTTATGCCACACAGGAAGTTGAGAACTTTCCTTGTGTAAACCTGCTCGATTCAATTATTTCATTTTATTTTAATGCTTTTCTTGTTACATTTACCATAGATCCAGCTTAGACCCATCTGTTCCAGTAGGGCTGACACAATGAGAACCCATCCGATGCAGAAATGATCAATTAAATTTATCCAGTAAATCCCAGCCTAATAAGAAATGAAAAATTTTTTAAAAATGCCACATGACATGCCACACAAACACCCTAATTTTCTAGATTATAGGATAAATTGCTGAAACCAGAGATATCACCCTGAACAGAAGTCTTCAGTACCACTGCTACCATATATGTTCCCACCCAATGATTGGGTGTGTATACTCAGCAACCTTCCCTTGCATAATCTTGCTTCATGCCTTAACACCCTCTGTTCCTCAGATGGTAAACTGCACAGCCCCTCCTCCTCTGCATTCTCAGCCCTAAAGGAGGATGCCCTGATTGACTCAATCCTGTGATGGCTGGGGATTGGGGTTATCATTATGATAGATGGGCCTGTATTCATTTAAGTTTAGAAGACTGGGAGTTGATCATGTTAGACATGTAAGAGGAGTCTTGACAGGCTGGTTGCTTTCTTATTCTGAAGTAAACGAGGTACTAGGACACACAATTTAAGAATAAGGGGTCTTGCATTTAAGAAAATGATGAAGCACCTTTAAGAAGGAGATGATGAGAATATATTTTTCTCTCAGATGGCTATGTGTCTGGGAGCCATTAAGATAGCGCTGGAGATTGGTGACACCATACAATGCTTTTCACTATATTTTGTATCAAAATACACATGACAATAAATCAATTTGAATAAACCTGTAGGTCTGAGTGACCCTATGCATTTAAAGCACAGCAAGACCCTGGATGTCCTGGTTTGAATGTGTTATGGTCCTTAGTTTGATGATTCATCTAAAAGATGGGCATATCTGACAATACCAGATTCCTGGTAGTCACTGCTGTGGAACATCAGCCTACATATGTGCTTGAATTGTTGATTGGGATTCACAAGTCTCTTTTGATTTAAATGCAACAGTGTTATAAACTGAGCCAAACTGAAAGTGAGATGGAAATTTACCAAATGACATAAAGGGAGCTGTTAGACAATGTCCTGCTGATTTAAAATGTACGCGGTCGCAATCTGATTTGCATGGTGTTAACAAAGCTGAGTTCCGGCTCTAATCAGGCTCTGTGTTGAGCAACAGACAGAGACATTTCTAAACTATATTAAATAAACTGGGAAAAATACATGACAAACATACAAGGTTCTTTTTATTACACAATGCTGTGAAATTTCAGATTTCATGGTTTTCTAATAATCGTACAGGTAGAACTATCGCAAATTATTAAATGACAACATACCTGTGTTACAAGTAAAAGGCTGAGGAAGTAAAATATCACACAAACAGCAGTTGTCAGAGAAAGGCGCTTCGATCGTAGAAATTTGGGGAATTGGTCCAGTAGGCCTGTTATAATTGTTTCTGATGAAAAGATGAAAATGAAATGAAATCAGGATTTAGTTGATAGTTTACACAGTGGCACACTCTCTGTCGCTGATTACCATCAAGCACCCTCCCTCAGCTGATGAATTATGAATCCTTCAAGTTGAATGCCACTTGGAAGAAGTACTGAGGATCCAAGGGTTCAGAATGTACTCAGGGTGGAGGATTTCAGTGTTCATCACTGAGAGTAGCACCATTACTGACTGCACTGTCCAAATTTCAAAGGACTTATCTGTCAGACTGGATTGCAGATGGACTTAGGACCAACAAGAGGGAAAACATTGGCCTTATCCTCACCAAACAGCCTGTCACAGATGCATCTGTCTATGATAGTCACTGGTAGGAGTGACAACAACACAGTCCTTGTTATCCCAAAGTCTACTCTTTACAACGAAGACGCCTTCCTCAAATGGTATTCTCAGAACTGATTCCAGTGGATAAAAACTAGATAAACTACTAAAAAAAAGTAGGTATTGTAGATCATGGAAGTGTCTTCAACTACAATATGTAATCTCATAACTCAAGTGTTTCACTCACTCTGCCAACATTATCAAGGCAGATGACCAATCCTAGTTCAATAGGCAGTTCAAGAGAGCATGCCAGGAGCAGCACCAGTCCTGAAAAAGGTGTCAAACCTAGTAAATTTACAACAACTGATTAAGTACAAGTTAAGGAGCAGAAGAAACATTCCATTGATGAGGATAAGTGATCCTGCTGCCAAGGGATCAAGTCAGTGTTCTGCTATTCTGACACATCCCGTCATAAATCCAGCGAGCAATTAAACAACTAGCTGGAGAAAATGGCTGCGCAAACACCCCATCCTCAGCAGGTCAGTTCAAGTAAACAGGCTGCAGCATTTTTATTCACCTGATGGTCTTTTCTGGATTTCATATCAACAAGGATGAGGAGAGACATAGGTGGATTAAACTGGCATTCCCTCCCTGAATAAAGATTTCAGAGAAAGAGGCAATATTCCCAGCAGCAATCCCACAGTGACTGGAAGACCGAGGGTGTCTTCTATCATGGATAGCTACAGCATTTGCACCACGTGTGGGGGACGAACAGGAGAGCCTGAAGGTGTGAGTGAGCACTTGCTCAGCAATATCACCAACAGGGATTCCTCACGGTTCTTCCAATTTCCGTAGAGATTGTGAACATTTAGATAGAAATGCGAACAGCCCAGAGTGGTCAAGTGAAAGAAAAAGATGCCACAAGATTCCACATATTTGATTTATTTATTGTCAGATGTGCCTTGTTACAAAATACAGTGTTGCATAGGTCGCCACTCTCTGGCGCCATCTCAAAACACAGAAAAAAATAAATCAAAACATAGAACGTAGAGACAGAAAAATGAAGAAGTAAAGAAAGTGTCCAAGTTTATAGTCCTTCCTGTGAAGTGCTCCACCATTGGCCCGGTGGCCAGGTACGAGCCCCCTTCGCCACGCCACTGTGGCTGGAATGAAAGTCGCCACCCTTCAGCACCTTCTCACCTCCACCACATGCCCTCGCCACTGTGAGTCCTCTGTTAGACCTTGCCAAAGCAGACGTCACTGATGCTGTTGCGTGCAGCCCTGGCCCAAACTCAACTCTATCGCCCTTTAGGCCTACCTCACCGATGCAGCCGCTGCTGATGCCGCCGGGTTTCATATTGGGCCTAAATCTGTCTCTGCTTCCGGCTCCATGAATTTCAGCTGGGCGCAGATGCCACTGGGAGTCCAAACCCACCTCCGCCCCAGCAGTCATGAGTCAGTGCTAAGACTAACTCAGTGATGCAGAAGCTGCCAGGAACCCGGTATCAATTCAAGAAAACCTTGCTGTACATAAGAACAAAGTGAAACAGAATAGACAAAGCAAACGCTACTACCTTATCAATTTTGTAAAGCCTTAGGTTCGAGAATAAAGAGTTCTTTTAAACATTGCAACAGAATCTTAAAGATTCATTCACTGCTGCTGGGACTAAATCATGATTTTTAGGCATTCACTTTCTCAGTATTCCAGCTATTCTCTGAATTATGAGGTATCATGAGGATCCTTCCATTAGCATTTGACTAAGTGACCACTCAGCTTTTTTTCTAAAGCCTCATGACTGCAGATTCCTCAACTTAATGTGGGACTCCACTGCATTGCTGCTTTAGTGAATCAGGAACATGCCGGGTTCCTAATAGCCTCTGTGCTCCATGTGCTGAGTCTGGACAGCCATAGACTGCTTTCTCCTAATCTGCTCCCACAGCTCTAGTCCCCACCACTGCTCTACATCTCCTGGAAGTTTCTATCATCCTCTGACATCTTAAAGGGCTGAAGAACCTGGCTAATGAGTGTTTCCAATGAGCAAACACACAAATAAATTGAAAGAAATGCATCTTTCTATCCCCACAGCCCATTTCCAAGGCAATGTGACATACTTCGGGATGTCCTGAACTGAAATGTAAGCTGACTATTTTTTAACCTAGAAAACAACACTTTTACCCTGTCACCCATATAAATAATTTACCTGTCTAATGGGTGTAATTTCACTCTTTTCAAAATTGCTATGTCCACCAAGAAACCCCTTTGCTTACAAGTTGTTTTTGACTTTATTTGATCCAAGAACAAAATGAACAACTGTAAGTGTTTTGGATAAACCCATAATTTGTTATTTCAGGTTTTCCCAATAATA